TTTAGCAAACAGTAGCGAACAAAAAATGTATAGCGCACTTTTTGATTGGTCCAGCGGATGCTGAGCTACACTGAGATAAATTTTTTAAAAAATTTTGAAAAATTAAATTTGCGAGATAATTAATCGGGAATACCGCCAAAGTCTTAACCCGGGAGTCTCGAAGAAAAAATGTATGGCGCACTTTTTGATTGGTCCAGCGGATTCTGAGCTACACAAGAAAACAAATTTGGAAAAAATTTAGGAAAATTAAATTTGCGAGATAATCGTTCCGGAATACCGCTATAGTGTTTAGAAGAAAGTTCTGAACAAAAAATGTATGGCGCACTTTTTGATTGGTCCAGCGGATGCTGAGCTAAACTAGAAAACAAATTCGGAAAAAATTTAGAAAAATTAAATTTGCGAGATAATCTTTCCGGAATACCGCCAAAGTCTTTAGCAAAAAGTAGCGAACAAAAAATGTATGGCGCACTTTTTGATTGGTCCAGCGGATGCTGAGCTACACTCAAAAACATTTCGGAAAATTTTTCGCAAAATTAAATTGGCGAGATAATCGTTCCGGAATACCACCAAAAAAATAGGGAAAAAGTTTCGAACAAAAAATGTATGGCGCACTTTTTGATTGGTCCAGCGGATGCTGAGCTAAACTAGAAAACAAATTCGGAAAAAATTTAGAAATATTAAATTGATGAGATAATCGTTCCGGAATACCGCCAAAGTCATTAGCAAAAAGTAGCGAACAAAAAATGTATGGCGCACTTTTTGATTGGTCCAGCGGATGCTGAGCTACACTAGAAAACAAATTTGGAAAAAATTTAGAAAAATTAAATTTGCGAGATAATCCTTCCGGAATACCGCCAAAAAAATAGGGAAAAAGTTTCGAACTAAAAATGTATGGAGCACTTTTTGATTGGACCAGCGGATGCTGAGCTACACTCAGATAAATTTTTTAAAAGATTTTGAAAAATTAAATTTGCGAGATAATTAATCGGGAATACCGCCAAAGTCTTAACCCGGGAGTGTCGAACAAAAAATGTATGGCGCACATTTTGATTGGTCCAGCGGATTCTGAGCCACACAAGAAAACAAATTTGGAAAAAATTTAGGAAAATTAAATTTGCGAGATAATCGTTCCGGAATACCGCTATAGTGTTTAGAAGAAAGTTCTGAACAAAAAATGTATGGCGCACTTTTTGATTGGTCCAGCGGATGCTGAGCTACACTCAGATAAATTTTTTAAAAAATTTTGAAAAATTAAATTTGCGAGATAATTAATCGGGAATACCGCCAAAGTCTTAACCCGGGAGTGTCGAACAAAAAATGTATGGCGCACTTTTTGATTGGTCCAGCGGATGCTGAGCTACACTGAGATAAATTTTTTAAAAAATTTTGAAAAATTAAATTTGCGAGATAATTAATCGGGAATACCGCCAAAGTCTTAACCCGGGAGTCTCGAACAAAGAATGTATGGCGCACTTTTTGATTGGTCCAGCGGATGCTGAGCTACACTCAGATAAATTTTTTAAAAAATTTTGAAAAATTAAATTTTCGAGATAATTAATCGGGAATACCGCCAAAGTCTTAACCCGGGAGTCTCGAACAAAAAATGTATGGCGCACTTTTTGATTGGTCCAGCGGATGCTGAGCTACACTGAGATAAATTTTTTAAAAAATTTTGAAAAATTAAATTTGCGAGATAATTAATCGGGAATACCGCCAAAGTCTAACCCGGGAGTCTCGAACAAAAAATGTATGGCGCACTTTTTAATTGGTCCAGCGGATGCTGAGCTAAACTAGAAAACAAATTCGGAAAAAATTTAGAAAAATTAAATTTGCGAGATAATCGTATCGGAATACCGCCAAAGTCTTTAGCAAAAAGTAGCGAACAAAAAATGTATGACGCACTTTTTGATTGGTCCAGCAAATGCTGAGCTACACTAGAAAACAAATTTGGAAAAAATTTAGAAAAATTAAATTGGCGAGATAATCTTTCAGGAAAACCGCTATAGTGTTAAGAAGATATTACTGAACAAAAATTGTATAGAGCACTTTTTGAATGGTCCAGCGGATGCTGAGCTACACTTAAAAATAATTTGGAAAAATTTTCAAAAAATAAAATTCGCTAGATAGGTGTTCGGGAATGCCACCATAGTGTTTAGAAGAAAGTTCTGAACAAAAAATGTATGACGCACTTTTTGATTGGTCCAGCGGATGCTGAGATACACTAGATAACAAATTTGGAAAAATTTTCGAAAAATTAAATTGGCGAGATAATCGTTCCGGAATACCACCAAAAAAATAGGGAAAAAGTAGCGAACAAAAAATGTATGGCGCACTTTTTGATTGGTCCAGCGGATGCTGAGCTACACTCAGATAAATTTTTTAAAAAATTTTGAAAAATTAAATTTTCGAGATAATTAATCGGGAATACCGCCAAAGTCTTAACCCGGAAAGTCTCGAACAAAAAATGTATGGGGCACTTTTTGATTGGTCCAGCGGATGCTGAGCTACACTCAAATAAATTTTTTAAAAAATTTGGAAAAATTAAATTTGCGAGATAATTAATCTAAAATACCGCCAAAGTCTTAACCCGGGAGTCTCGAACAAAAAATGTATGGCGCACTTTTTGATTGGTCCAGCGGATTCTGAGCCACACAAGAAAACAAATTTGGAAAAAATTTAGGAAAATTAAATTTGCGAGATAATCGTTCCGGAATACCGCTATAGTGTTTAGAAGAAAGTTCTGAACAAAAAATGTATGGCGCACTTTTTGATTGGTCCAGCGGATGCTGAGAAACACTCAGATAAATTTTAAAAAAAAATTTGAAAAACTAATAAGTGTTTGATAAAAAAAATTTACAAGATAATTGTTCGGGAATACCGCTAAAGTCTTAACGCGGGAGTCTCGAACAAAAAATGTATTGCGCACTTTTTCATTGGTCAAGCGGATGCTGAGCTACACTAGAAAACAAATTTGGAAAAAATTTAGAAAAATTAAATTTGCGAGATAATCTTTCCGAAATACCGCCAAAGTCTTTAGCAAAAAGTAGCGAACAAAAAATGTATGGCGCACTTTTTGATTGGTTCAGCGGATGCTGAGCTACACTAGAAAACAAATTTGGAAAAAATTTAGGAAAATTAAATTTGCGAGATAATCGTTCCGGAATACCACTATAGTGTTTAGAAGAAAGTTCTGAACAAAAAATGTATGGCGCACTTTTTGATTGGTCCAGCGGATGCTGAGCTACACTCAAAAACATTTCGGAAAATTTTTCGCAAAATTAAATTGGCGAGATAATCGTTCCGGAATACCACCAAAAAAATAGGGAAAAAGTTTCGAACAAAAAATGTATGGCGCACTTTTTGATTGGTCCAGCGGATGCTGAGCTACACGGAAAAAAATTTTCTGGTAATTCTTTAACGTCGATTTAGAGATTTTACATGTTCCTAAATCTGTTAATTCTACAGATATTTTCTGCAAGGATTTAACGCATGCGCGAAAACAATGCAGTGATTCGACTAAGGCTGAGTACGATTGAGTGCGAGAGGTTAAGGCGAATTTAGTGTTTTTATTATTATCATAGTGTCGGCAAGAAAGTTCAATTAAAAAGGATACGTCTTAAGTATATAAACATTATTATTATAGAAATAAATTATTACAAATTTTTTATTTTAAAATTAACTGTAGTGATTAAGTGAGAAAAGTCGTTTGTTTCAATTTCTCGACATAAGAAAAAGTGGATTTATCATAAGTTTTGAAAACTTGCTCCTCATTTTTTTTGTTAGAAAATTATTGAAGGATGAATTTATTTACATAGAAGTTATACTAATTTATACAATAATGTTCCGCGAATTTAATGTATTCGGAGGAGAATATAACCTATAAGAAATACTCTACCAACTATATATTATCCCCATATAGTATACATAATTTGGTCACTCAACAGTTTTTAAGAACTGTAGCTCAAACTTGTAGAATTAACAGATTTCAATGCCAATGATTCAACATATTTCTCTATTTGGAGAAACATCAGTAGATGGCGCAAGAGTTTCTGTAAATTCTACAGAAAATTTTTTTCTGTGTACACTAGAAAACATTTCGGAAAAATTTTCGAAAAATTAAATTTGCGAGATAATCGCACGGGAATACCACCAAAAAAATAGTCAAAAAGTTCTGAACAAAAAATGTATGGCGCACTTTTTGATTGGTCCAGCGGATGCTGAGCTACACTAGAAAACAAATTCGGAAAAAATTTAGAAAAATTAAATTTGCGAGATAATCGTTTCGGAATACCGCCAAAGTCTTTAGCAAAAAGTAGCGAACAAAAAATGTATGGCGCACTTTTTGACTGGTCCAGCGGATGCTGAGCTAAACTAGAAAACAAATTCGGAAAAAATTTAGAAAAATTAAATTTGCGAGATAATCTTTCCGGAATACCGCCAAAGTCTTTAGCAAAAAGTAGCGAACAAAAAATGTATGGCGCACTTTTTGATTGGTCCAGCGGATGCTGAGCTTTACTAAAACATAAATTCGAAAAATTTTCGAAAAATTAAATTTGCATTATAATCGCTTGGGAATACCACCAAAAAAATAGTCAAAATGTTCTGAACAAAAAATGTATGGCGCACTTTTTGATTGGACCAATAGATTTTGATATAGAGTCAAATAAAGTAAGTATTTTTGTAATTTATAAGATTTTTCCTTTGGAATACATCCTAATACTCACTTTAAAATTTTTGAAAGAGAACGTTTGCTTCTTTTTGACACTTTTGGTGTAGTATGAAAACGCTATAACCCAGTATATGTTATCATGGGACACTCTACACTTAATTTTTGTTTTTGCTGTAGGCCGAAAATTTTAATATACTTGAAGAATTTAAAAATTTTACCGACCATACCAACAGTAGAAAACATTTGTGTTGGCGCATTTTGATAGTTACCGATATAAATGCATATTAACTTATCCACCGTGCTTTTGATTTTTGACTTGTATTTGTTAGCAGCACTGTAGTTGCGGTTCGCATGTTTTCTGTTTTCCCATGTTGTGTTTACTTATATGCAATCTTTTAATGTTGTTAAATCATTTTAAAATCAATAAATTTAACGTTACATGATTAGAAATATTTAAAAAATGAAAACTGTTGAAACTTATCAATTAGATGTGTGGAAAGGTGATTGGGGTTTACCTTCTATAGATATTAATTGCCTGCAAGCACTGGTATGTTTTTATTATAGGTTATGTGATTTTTTTGAATAATGAATTTTATAATTTTTCTAAATTATAACATTATAATATTTCACAATTTTGAATTAAACATTGTTTCTATTGATAAGTATTATTTATTTTTTCATTTATTTTGTGAAATTGAATTCTACATTTTTAGATGACAAAAATAATTTATATAATTTATTCATTTAACCTCTAAAAAGAAAATCGATAAAATTTTTTTTTTCTTGTTTTTGTTATTTTATAAGGTTTTTGTAAATGAATAATTTTTACTACTGCTTATTTATAAACATTTTTTAATTAATATTTTATTTATCTAGTTGCAAATTATTTAAATCTATTTTTAGTTCAGTTGTAGTTATTTTATATTTTTAATTTTGTTTATTTTCTTTTTATTTTGTAACTTTATTGAATTATTATTTATTGTAAATTTTTTTTTTTTTTTGCAAATTTTAGAGTCCTGAATTTTTATTTACATATGTTAATTTAATTTCTTAAATTTTATTTTCAATTAGAAGAAGAACTTCTTTTTAGTTTACCTGTTCTTTTTATTGTTATTTATTATTAATTAAATAATTAACGTCAATATTAATTTAATACGGGTTTTTTTAGGCCTATGCAAAATTTTGTAAAATTCCTTTAAAAATAAACGCAACAAATAATCCATATAGAAGTCCAAATGGTCAATTACCTGTATTACGACATCAATACGGCATTGATTATACGATCAGAAATATTTTACAATTTTTTCGCAAAAACAATTATTGTCTTGATTTTGGTTTAAGTCCAAAGCAATGTGCAGATGTGAATGCTTATGAGACGATGCTCAAAGAAGAATTATTTCCAGCACTTCAATTTATATGGTATTTCTAAATAAAATTTCTTTGTTTAATTGTGAATTTAAAAAATATATCAATTTAATTATTTAATTGGAATGATCAAATTAATTAAGCTTCTTTTATTATTTAATTGATTTTGCAATTAAAACATTCTTCAAAATAATGTTTTCTTTTTTTGCTTATTTTAATGAAATAAATTATAATTTTTATGAGAAAACAAGTTTTCCATTACTTTTTTTTTTTTAAATTATAAATTAAAATAAATGATGTTAAAGTTCATAATGTTTATGATCAACGATTTTTAAAATATTATTTTTCAATGAATAAGTCTATGAATTTTCATTTCAAAGATATATTTTTTGCAATGTTTATTGATAAAGAAATTAGAAAAAATATTTTTCTAGATATAAAATTTTTTAATTTTCTATTTTAAATAATAATGTTTATTCTAATCGTTGATCATAAACGTTGTGTACTTTAACAGCGTTTAAAATAACACACTTTATAAAAAAAAAAAAATTCAAAGGTGGGTTGACGAGAGAAATTTTCGACAAGTCATTAGGCCATGGTATGGAAAAGCAATGCCATATTTTTTAAATTATTATTATCCTTCAAAATACGAAAAAGAGGCAAAGACTTTAATGGAATCATTGTATCCCACCGAGGATGAAATTAGCAATATCGAAACTGACGTGAGTTGTTTCAAAATTTTAAGTTTTAATAGAGTTGTTTTAAATTAATAAATAGTTCATTTATCTTTAAACAGTAAACGAATTTTTTTTTCAATACTCCTTTTTCTAAATAAAATAAAAAAAAAAGTTTAAAATAATTAAAATTCAATATAGGTTTATGGAAAGGCACAAAAATGTTTGACTTTACTGTCAAATCGATTGGGTGATAAGGATTATTTTTTTGGTTCAAAGCCAACGACATTAGACGCAATTATATTTTCTTATTTGGCGCCAATATTACGAATTCCATTGCTAAATAATGCTTTGAAAAATCATCTCACAGCATGTGTAAATCTAGAAGATTTTGTCGTAAGAATATCGGTGAAATATTTTGAAAATGATTATAGATTATATGAAAAGGAAATAAAAATGAAAAATACTTCTGAACCAAATAAAACAGAGGAAGAAATTGATTTTCCACATAAATCGAGAAATAAAATTCTCGCGGGAGTTTTTGCAACTGTTGCCATGTTAGGTTTCGCCATTTTTAGTGGAATTTTAGAGGTAATTTGAAAAAAAAAAAAAATATTTTACTTTTTAATTTAAAAATAATGCATTTTATTTATTTAAATATATACGAGCAAGAGAGCTCATTTAGATATAGTTAATATTATTGGAATTAAAAAAATAATTTTTTTTCTCATCTTGGAAAATGAAAAATAAAAGTGGTTTTGCAAATTCTATGAATTTATTGACATTAAATTATTATTACAATTAAAAAGTAAAATTGTTAAAATGATGAAAAATTGTAAGATTGAATTACAATAATAAATATAATGAATTTTTTTATAATAAAGTTTAGATTGTTTGGTAGACTTTTTTTTTAAACGTGGATTCTATTTTAAATTTAAAAAAAAAGATCTGCAAAAGTTTCGTTTATTTTTTTTTAATATAATTAATTTCCATGAAATTTGGAGAGAAAACATCAATTTTCAGATGTTTTTTTATTTGTAGGTGGTAGCTTATTTAATAAGACACAGAAAGTTTCTTAGAATTCCTAAAAAAGCACGAAAACGTGAGTATGTCATGAATTTGCAAATCCTTTACCCATACATTTACCCAGCTTTTTTTTTTCTTTTTTGTAAATGAAAAATATTTACTTTCAGTTTATTTTTCTTTGTCAAAGAAATTTTCCATTTCGAATTTTATATATTTATATAATATATATATATATATAATTTATCCATTTGTTTGCAATTTATATTATTTCAATATTTTATGTATTTATAAATTTATTTTTAATTTTCCACAAAAATTATAAAATAAACATTATTTATTATATATATTAAATAGTATTATTATTGAATATTCTTATGTTATTTTAAATATTATTTATATTTCACAAATAATATTTAAAGTGACATCAAATAAAACAGTTGGAAAAAACGGTTAATTTCACTGACGATGATATGAAAATAAAAGACAATTAAGTAATGCATGTTTCTTTAGAAATTTTACACTTTTAAAAAGAATATTAATATAAAATCCATTGAGAAATTAAAGAAAAATTTAATAAAAAAAAAACAATAAAAATTTATCAAAAAATAACAGAATTAAATATAAAAATATAATAATCATGTGCCAATTATCAATTAAAATTATAATAAAAATATTTTAAAAAATATTAAATTAATGTTGGTATTTAAAAATTTTACGAAATTTTAAAAAATCATAATCGATAAATTAAAATATACAATATAATTTCAGAAAAAAAACATTTCCGACTTAAAAAAAAATGCGCGTTTTAATGAAGAAAAAAATATATATTTGTTAAAGGTGCCAGCAAATGATGAAGACTACGATTCTTCCGAATATACGTTGGATAATCAAGATTTCTACGATGAAGATTATGAAGATGAATAACATTCGGTGAAGTGACATTTTTTCTTTGTTAAAAATTTTCAAATAAAACAAAAAAATAGAAATTAAAGAAATTTTGTTTATGCAAGAAAAAAAACTTCATTTACGATTTAATATGACAACACTTTTTGTGTAAAGTTAGCACGTCGTGCCAGAGATGTTTTTAAGTAGAAGTATAAATATATATATATATTACAATTGAGAAGAAAGACAACCAAAAAAAAAAAAAATAAATAAAATGAAGAAAGAAAATAATGTTTAGTAAGATCCGAGACTTTTGTATACATAATAGAATGTTTACAATTGGAATATTTTACAAATAAATAGCTCTTGTACAAAATATGAATTTTTTTTTAGTGTCTTATTATTTTTTTTTTTTTAATGATGTCTTGGTCTGTACCTTGGAATTATTCCCGTTGTTGCTGTTTGAATTTCTTCCGCGAAACTATCAAAATTATGAATTGTTGTACCGCCCAAAATTATTTTCGTATCCAAATTTAAACGATTTAAATTGTGAACGGCTAAACTCTCCTCGTAAGTTGTTCCACCGACGATAAATACTATTATCTCCTGCGGCCTGTCATTAAAATGGAATTTTTCATTTTTCATGAATAAATTTTTTAATTTTTTAAATTTTATAAATAAAAAATAATTTTTTTTTAATTCAAACATCTTTTTTTTATCTATAAAATTATTATACTTTAATATATATATATACCTCTTTGTCATGACCATATTTCCAAGATAGGGGAATGTTTGTAAATTTAATTTTCCTTTTACAGTGTCTTCTAAGATTTCAAATAAAAGAGGTGAATGCTGTGTATAAATATTGTCCACACCACTTAAGCCTTTGAATAATTTTTTTGTAATTTTAGCAACAGCCTCGTGATTAAATAAATTACTCTGTCTCGAATTCACTCCACTGTATTCCAATAAATTGTACACCAGCTGAAAGACAAAAAAAAAGAGATTTTCATTTTGTTTTTTTCTTTTTAAATTAATATTTTATTAGTTTATTGAAAAAACATTAATATACCTTTGTATATTTTTCCGAAACGCCTCGTTTTTTCAACATTTCTAATAAACCAGTGATGTCATTATTTGTGTGTTTCTCATAATGAAGTGCGTACAGCATCACTAATCTTGTTGCATCTTTGTCTCTAACTCGAGTATCATTTATGAGTTTCTTGATTTTCTGCAACTGTTTGAATTTTTGTTTTTCTTATAGTTATACAAGTTGATAACTAATTTTAAAAAATTTCAATTAATAAAAATAAGATCAAATATTTATTATTACAAATTTTGTGTAATGTAAAATTTTCATTTAAGAAAGAATCGAAGAAACCATCTCATAGTAAACATTTTTTTTTAATTTTTCTTCAAATGCAAAGTGTTAAATATTATTATAATTTATGAAAAAAACTGTTTCTTTAAAATTATTTTTTTGATTAAAAAATTCGAAAATATGAAATTGAAATAACTTTTGTTTTGAAAACGTCTGTACGTTAATTTCTTATTATTAATAAATTCTCTATTTAACTGGATTCTTATTTACGAGAATTTTAAATCATTTTTTTATTTCTTTTTTTATTAACCAATAAAATGTAACACATTAATTTAATGATAATTAAAACAATTCATAGGTATTTTAATTTAAAATAAAATGAATCTATTTTTAATTATAAACGAATTATTATTTTTTTTTTAAATAAAAAAATGAAAATAAGGAAAAATTGATTTTATATAATATTTAATTTACCTGAGTGGAATGTTCACTTTGGCAACTTAGTTCCTGTTCCAATTCGGAAACTTCGAGTAAATTATGTTCGCCAACCATCGTTGAAAGTTCACCGACAAGTGTAACATGCTTGGCAACTGTACCGGACATTTTTTTAAACAATGGATAAGCCTCAACGAAATTTTTCATATCCGCAATACTTTCAACTTTTTGATGTTTTTTCGCTCGTTTTTGAAAGTCGTCCATTAATTCTTTTATTGTTTGACCAATTTCCCCAAAATTCAGATACAAATTCTGTTTTTTTTTTAATTTGAAAATACAAATTTTCAATTATTATAAAAAATTTTAAATTAAAATAAACTTGAATTTAAAAAGAAATTATTAATACTGATTTATGAATTACAAAAAAAAAGTTTCGATTTTTAATTTGAATTAAATTTAATACTCTCATTAAATTAATCGAATCAATTTCTTTTTTTTTACATTCAATCATATAAAATTAATAATAAATTTTTCCTGATGTAAAAAGAATAAAATTTGAAATTTTTAAAAACAAATTATACTAACGTTCTCGTAAAATTCATCGTGTTGAGCACTGATGACAACTTCTTGTAATTCTTTGGAAATACCTTTAACGTGCGATAAATCAACTCTATTATTATTAATAGTCAAAAGTTCATGAACCATCGCTTGATATGTCCATTGATTAAGTAAAGGCGTTACTGGATCATCTTTTCTGTCGAGAATCAAAAGAATTGAATTTGATTCTTCGCGAAATTTAAAAGAATTCGATTCTCTTGTTAAAACTTCGCGAATTTTTTCCGCCAATCTTTTAGACATTTCCGAACTATTTTGATATCTTATGTAAGGACATTTTTTCAATGACAAAAGAACAGCAGTTATTCCTTGAACTGTTCTATGAAGATTTCCGGGATTCCAAGTTAAACCTGTTTAGTAAAAAAAAATTAATAATTATTTTTTTATTCTTATTTATTTTCGTAATCATTTTAAATATAAAAATATATAATTTTATTATTTTAGTTAAAAATTGAATTAAAAAAAAAAATAATAGATAAATTAGAAATTTTTTGTAATTTATCATCTAATTTTTTTTATTAGATAGAATTGATTAATAGTTTTTTTTTTCTAAAGAATTCATTGAAAAATTTATAAATAAATTATAAATTTATAAATTAAATTAAATAAAAAGAGAAATTTTACCCTGACAACAGGCATTGATTCCTAAAGAAAATAAATGTGGGCTCACAGCCAAATAATCAGCATAATATTCGTGAACTTCTCTCACGACTTCTTGTTCATCGCTCTCTGCTAATAATTTTATATCTGCTTTTGCTATAATATTGCTAAAATCTGAAAACAACAAAAATTCTTCCTATGTAATTTTAATTGAAACAGTTTTTTTTTACATACAAATTTTAATTTTTAAAAAAATTTCTTATTTCGTTTTTTTTTATCTTCAAAAAACAAAGGGAAAACTGTTTAATAAAATATAAATTACAAGTGTTTTACTTACAAATATAATAAACACCATATTTTGGATTTCGTAGTTCATTGCACAGTAAAGCAACATTTTCTTTGGTAGGTCTTACAAAAACAATACATTTTAAATGTTTTAAGCCCTCACTGCGAGCGGCTGCATCGATTCTTTCAAAAAGATAAACTTCTTTCATCAAAATTTCTGATTGACTATAAACCAAACTCACAATACTTATCTAAAATGTAATTATAATTATCCTATTATTATTATTATTATTATTATTATTATTATTATTATTATTACTGCTGTTAATGTAATTTTTAATATTTTAGTTAATTAATATTCTAAAAAGAAAGTTATTTCAAAAATTTTTTTTAATTTATAAAAGGATAAGAAAAGGAAATAGTAAACATAACCTTAAAACTAACTAATATTACCGTTTGTTTGTCCATTAAAAGAACTTTCATTCCTGGACCACTTTCCTCAGTCATTTTTGTAATATAAAACTTTAATGATGTCACGACATTCATTTTGATAAGTGACTTTGAATAATTATTAATTTTTCGTGGATTTAAATATATATATATATTAATTTTTGTGAATAAATTTCCAGCACTACTGAAATGTCAGATTGACGGGCGTCACATTAGATTTTCGATAATTTAGGCGGGAAAACAAATTTCACCGTCAATTTAGACGTTATTTTAAACTATTTTTTCCTCTCAATTTTTTTTTATTAATTGTTAATTCACTATTATTTATAACTCTAAAAAATATTGTCCGCGTGTAAAATAAATAAATAATAACAATAATATTATCATTATTAATTATATAGATTAAATTTTAAAAAAAAAATTGAAATAATTTTAAGATTTATAAAAATGCAACCTATTTGATGAAAAAATAAATATTTTAAAAAATATGAATATAAAATATGGGTCAATCCATTGAAAAATCATTCGATAATGATTGCTGACATATTTTTGAAAAATCTAATTTTTTATTATTTATGAAACTTGAACCTTTTCAAGTAAACAAATTTTTAAATTTAATATTTCCGAAACGGAGCAAAATACCTTCGTCAAATTGTAATAGCCGATAAATTGTATTAGTTAAAAAAATCTCAAATTTTTTAATGCTTCCAGAAAAAAGTTCTAAGCTTTAAAAATAATAATTAATAATAATAATAAATAAATAATTTAAAATTTTAATAATAATATCTTAAGTTAAATAGTTTAATATGTACATAGATAAACTTAAATTTAATAAATTAAAAAAGTATTTTTCAAAAAAATTGTAGTTCAAAATTATAAAGAAGCTTTTAATAATTTTTTTAATTTTTATTAATTTTCATTAAATTGGTAAAATAAAACAAAAAACATTTTATTCGTATTTACAGTTTTATTTAAACTAACCATTTATAATCTGAAAAACATTATGAAGATGGAGATACTTAACAAAATTTCTGTTTTCATAATGATGATTTTGAACGAGAAAAAAATGACAAATAAAATTTACGTTCTAAATCAACCAAAAAGTTGAAAAAAATTAATAATTGTAAATTGTATCACTACGTTAATTTAATTAACTGATTTTTAATTAAATTTACAATTTACAATAAATTTAATTTCTATTTTCAAAAAAAAATATTTTACAAATACTGCAATTTTGTCAATGAAAATTAAAATCTAAATAATTATACAAAGTAGGTAATTATAATAATCACTAAAAATAGATAAAAAAAAAGTTTTCAGTATCATAAATTGAGTATTTCATCAATTTTTTAAACATGTTAATTTTAATTATGTCTAGTATATAAATCTAAATTTTAAGAATGTACAACTATAGTGAATAAATTTTGTACAACAAAGTTAGAATAAGTGAGAGTCAAATAATAACTAAAAAAAATTAATTAATAATAATCTTATCGTGTAGAACAAAATTAACTATTAAAGATTTAAGTTAATATAATTGGAGGTTCTTCCGATGGTGGTAGAACGCTTGTTTCTTGTGTCTCAACTAATTTACTTCGAATTATATTTCCATCTGCATCCATTTCGTCAATTGAAATAAGAATATTCGAAATAATTGGCATTGACTTTCCCAATTCAGGAGAAACATCTCCTTCGTCAATTTCCAATGCGCCCTCAATTTCCATATCTTCTTCTCGTAAATTATCTTGCGCTTCTATCACCTAAACAAAATATTTTTTTAAATTCTTGACATTTTTTTCAAACAATAATTTAAGTTTTAATTTTAATTCAATTAATTTTAAAAGTAAAATTCGCATAAAATTATGCATTAATTTAAATTGAATTAAAAAGAAAATTTCAGTTAATAATAATTTAAATTTTTAAGTAAATATAATTAATAGTTTACAAAATTAATTATTTAATTTGACTTGATTTTCAAATATTATTTTTATTAAATTTAAGTAAAAAAATTAATAACTCACTTCAACACAAATATCCGAGGCTTGTGTGATTTTTAATGTGTAATTCTTATCTGTAATGTTAATATTTGGTTTCATCACTTTATCCGATGTGGAATTGGTTTCGTTTTCTTCGTAAAATTCAAATCTCGCCGTTTGCACACGATAACATCCGTCGTCACATCTTTGATATTGAAAACGCTTGTGTCCAATATTCAACGAGATATGATGTACATCCATTAAATGTTTCGTGAGACGATAACTTTTTTGATATTTTACAGGACATTCATGACAACAATACCATCTTATATCTTGGCAATGTGTTTTTTCCATATGCCTGTAAAAAAAAAATAATTTTTATATTTTTTAGTGAAAGAATACATCCGAATTTTCAACTATATTAAGAAATTATTTTAAAAATTCAACAAAATTATTTTTATAGTCATTTTTTTACAAGTAATTCAATGGTCATAAAATAAAATGTGATAAAAAATATTTTTACCACTTTTTAATTTTTATTTTTCCTAAAAATTGAAATATTTTGAAATTAATCAGTAATTTTCTACAAAATATGTTTTTATATTTAGAAAAAAATCCCCGAGTGAACATTTTAATGTTTACTATTTTTGAAGCACTTTATTTGAATAAAAAATTGTTTTAAGATAATAAATGATGAAAAATATTATATTAAATTTTTTATTTAAGATATTCATTTATTTATTAATTTTTTTTTTTTTACAAATTTTAATGATTTTTATTTTTAAATGCTCTTTACTTTCTTAAATATGGGTCAATTTAAAAATTTTGTCTTTAAATTATGTGTTTTTACGTGAACTTTTCGAAAATTCGATGCAAAAAATTCTAGAAAAATTACAAAATATATTTTGTGCAATTTAAAGATTAAAAATTTTGTTTTTAAAACTATTTGTATCTATCAATTTTTTAAAAATTTTCAAAAATACTACTTCCTTTTACAAAAATTTTAAACTTGATTCAATCTTTTTTATACTTTTTTTTATATTTTAATGGTCTGAAATTTATTAGAAAATTGAAGAATTAATGGTTTAAAATTTGTGAAAATTAAAATTTTTAAATAAATCATTTTTAATTGTTAATAAATTTGTGAATTTTTAAAAAAGTAATATCCCTATAGTTTTGAACGTTCAAATGAACAAAATTTTTGTTTGTTACTTTTTGTAAATTTGAATTTTATTACAAAATATTAATTTACATATTAAAAAATGAATTATTTACTTAATAAATGTTGAATTTCTTTTTATTTCTTATTAGAATACAATAATTTTAGAAAATATCGAAAGGGAAAAAAAAAATTTTCGTTCATTTAAACGTTCAAAATTTTAGAGACATTAAAAGTAAATTATTTTTGTTTTTTCTAATAAGCAAGTGAAAAAATCAATTTGAATTTTTATTTAAATAATATGTAAGAAATAAAATTACCTATCAAGTACGTATGCATTTTTACATTGATACATACAGCCTTCTGCTTGACAATGAAACATTGGTCCCTTTGTATGCACTGACATATGATAATCCAAGTCTTGTTGCGTTTTTGCACTGTGTTTGCATAATTGACAAGCGAACGCTCTTTCTTCCAAATGCCTATAACGAATATGTTTAGCTAGTGTAGCCGACGATTTACAAATCATATCACATAAATTACATTTAATCGAATAAATATGTTGCCTCTCGTGTTCGTTTAGAATTTTTGCAGTTGGATAAAATTTATTGCAAACTGAACACAAAAATCCTTGCGCTAGAAAAAAAAATACGTACAAATCAATAAAAATTTATAAAATAAATCATTTTTTCTTTAACATGTTTTGAAAAAGCAAACAAAATTTTATTCATTTTTTTTTTCTTCAATTTATCAATTTTTCTTTAATCTTCGAAATTTATAATTAAATTTCAATTGTCTTACTTACTTTCAACTGAAATTTGTCGATCACAATGTTCACGAAATTTTGAGTTTGTTGAAAGCATTAAACCACAATCGGGACATGCGATTGTTTTCTCTTTTGTGTGACTTCTTATGTGATCTTTTAATTTGTGAATACTTGGAAATACATTTTTACAACCAGACCATTTACATTGAATGCCACCATCCACATTGTTACCACGGGGATATTTTTCTATATGAATTGTAACGTGATCTAGAAATGTTTGATATTTATTAAAAGTCTCGAGGCAATTATTCCATTGGCAAATTAATGTCGGTGGTAATTCCATATTTGACCAGTCAGTTTCACGAATACATTGCTGAAAAAAGAAAATGAAAAATCAATTGTAAAATAATCAAACAAAATTTTCACCCAACAAACTATGACTATTAATAATTAAATAAATAAATTAGTTTCTTGTTTTTTTTTTTTTAGAGAAAAAATTAATTCTTCGGCAAAATTTCCAGCTTGAATTTAGTAAAATGTTTCAAAATATTTTATCTTCTTTTTTTTAAAGTCAGATTCATGGAAATTAATATTTTCTTGTCAAAATTATTAAAATAGAATCGAGAAATATGTACAATTTTATTTTAAACTAATTTACAAAAATGTTATAAGAACAATTCACGGAATATTGTTGAGTTGAATAATTTTTTTAAAAGAATATTTGAATTAGCACAATTTTCAACAATTGAACTCATATTTCTTTTCAAAAAGTCTAACTTAAAAATAAATTAATAAAATATTTATAAGAATATAAACATTTTTCACGAAGCTGAAGTACGCAACAATTATGATAAACAATTTTTAAAGAAATAATTTTTTAAAATGAAATAATTAATATAATTATAATTTAATAATAATAATTTATTATAATTTTTCGCCTAAAAAATATTTCTTGTAGTTTTCATTAATCAACAAATTAGAAAAAAATATTTTTTAGGCAAAAAATTATAGAATTTTTCATTTTAAAAAATTATTTCTTTAAAAATCGTTTAGTAACAGGAAAACTTTCATTTTTAAAATTATTTTTTCCATATAAAATTTTCTATTTATTCGAATTTCTAAAATTTTTATTCAATTTTTATTTTGTTAACTTTTTTTCTTCAAGTTTTTGTTTAATGTTCTTCAACTTCAATTTTCATTGCGTTTAATAAATTTTTTTTATTAAATCTATTTTTCGCTCTAATTCTTTTTTTGAGTAATTTCTCAAATTTTCTTTCAATTTTTGTTTTCTTCAACATTGTGTTTCTTAAAATTTTTTTTTTTTTTGAATTCTAGAATTTTTGATTGTTTTTTAAATCTTCTTTTTTTTGAATTTCTGTTATTTATTCATTTTTATTTGACGATGTGTTTTATTTTTTTCAACAAATTTTGCTTGTTTTAAAATTTTAGATATAAACGATATAAACATTTTTTAAAATGAAAAAATTCTATAATTTTTTGCCTAAAAAATATTTTTTGTAGTTTTCATTAATCAACAAATTAGAAAAAAATATTTTTTAGGCCAAAATTTATAGAATTTTTCATTTTAAAAAAAGTATTTCTTTAAAAATCGTTTATCATAAACGTTGCGTACTTCAGCTTCGTCATTTTTCTTTTAATTACATATTAAATCAAATAATTTTACAATTTATTTTTAATTATTCATTCTCAAATAAATTGAAAATATCTTTAATCAATAAAAAAAAATTTAAATTATCTTTTAATATTTTTAAAAAGCGAAATTCAATATAAAATATATTTAAATAAAAATAAAAATATATGTTTATAAAAACAACCACTTACCGGCAATTTATTTCTCTGCTTAAAATTATTGCCAATTGATTTTAATTTTCCATGATATGAATGATAATAAACGTGCCATGTTATTTCCGTTGTCAATGGTGTTTCATAAGGACAATTTTTCCAGCCACATATATATGTTCCCGTGCCGTTATCCAACATTTTTATTTCCAATTCAGGAATATGTCCACTCATATGATCGAGAAAACTTTTCGGCGATGACGAATTAAATGAACAATTTTTCCATTCACACAATATATCTAATTGTTCGTCTTTTAATTTTTTTCCCAATCTACGTCTTTTTGCTCCACATTGTGAAACAGAATCAAATTCAGAATTTGAGACAGTATCTTCAGTTTCGTCTAAATTTAAAATCGATAAAGGATCTTCTTCCGATGTAATCAACATAACTTGTGAATCGACCCAATCGCTACATCTTTCACGTAATTCTTTTGTTTTAATCATTTTCTTCATCATTTCACACATTTTGCAACAAAATTTTCTTTAGATGAAAATTTTTTTCCTCTCTCTTGAAAACGAGAATATATCTTTTTGAAACATGTGAAAATTATAATATATATTATTTTTTTTTGTATATTATTAAAATTAAAAGTTATAATTACAATAAAATTTTTTAGTTTTTTTTTTGCAAGGAATATTTAGATATTAACATTTTAAATATTTTGGAATCAAAAGTGATACAGAAAAATTATTTTTAGAAAAAATTAAACAATATTTAAATTGTAAATGAATAATACTTTGAAATTTTGTTAATAACGTTTTTTTTAGTCTGCGAATTAAAAAAAATTCAAGTAAAATAGAGAAAAACAATTTAAAAACTAAATTCCGAGACAAATTTCATAAATTGGATTTTTTTTTTTGAGGTTATAAAATCTCAAGTTTCAAAATTGAGTAAAAAAATGTTATTTCTTAATTTACGTATACTTAATAAAGTTTAAAAAAAAATTTAACCTAATAGAACACATGTAAAAACTTGCCTTTTTTTAATGAAATGAATCGCTATAGAATTCTTTCCTCCAAATGTTTCTCGTCCGTCAAATGATTGAAAGACGCAAGAGGTATTTTGCTTCGTCAAATTTTAATGTTTACGTTATTCACGGTGATCACAAAAGTGCTTGAATTTTACTACATATAGAATGTAAATTAAAAAATAATGCACTGTCCTTATTTTTTACAAAAATTACTAAAAACAAAAATATGACACTATTTCACACAACTCTCAAGAGTAATTCATTGCTGCGAAGTTGCTTGAGTTCAAAGCATTTGCGACAATGGAAATTTTTTGGCGGTTCTTTGACAATAAACAGTGAACAAGGAAGTTCAACTATTTACGCATTGTCATCAGGTAATGTATATTTTTACACGAAAATTACATATTGTTAATTGTCATTTAATGATTTTTTTTTTCAAAATATGTATTGTTAATCGTAACGTTCTTACAAATTTGCTGTTCATAATCACAAAGATTGCCTAATGTTATTGTTCTCGATTTCGTCTGCTGTATAACGTAAACATTTTTTTTTTGACAGCTTCAACAAATTTTTTTAAAAAAATTCTTATTGATAAAATTAGTAACTAATAGTTTCGTTTCTAGAATTATATATATATGTAAATTATTACTACATAACCAAATATTTCGATTCTAACCTAAAAATGTATGTTTTTTGTAAATTTTTTTTTTTTAAATTGAAGTAGGTAAATTGTTTATAATAATAATGTTAATAAAAGAAAAACAATTCTATATTATTTCAAATAAGAATAAAATCAATGTTTTTATAATAAAATAATTATGAACTAAAAATTAATTTTTCCCGCGAATTTATGTTTTTTAATTTATTGACAAGATTGTGTTTATTAGAATTAATTTATTATGAATTAATTTCAAATAAATATGAAAAATAATATGAATTTTTCATTTTTTATTTATAAATATTTTGTAGGGCAAGGAAAATGTGGAGTAGCCGTGGTCCGAGTGTCTGGTTTCGAAGCTTTAAAAGCTTTACAAAAAATGACAAATTTGTCAAATCCAAAATCAAAAACTACTTTTCTTCGAAAAATACACGATCCTGAAACTGGGGAAATTATAGATAAAGGATTATGCTTGTGGTTTCCAGGTAATTTGTGTTAACAAAATTTTTGTATTTCAATTTTTATTATTTTTTCATTTTTTTTTTTTTTAATGATTAATTTCGATTTTCTATTTATCTTTTAATTTTCATAATTTAATTTAAATTGATGTATTAAAAAGAACGCAAAAAAATGAAGTGTGCCTAAGTAACAGGGAAACTTTCATTTTTAAAATTATTTTTTTCATATAAAATTTTCTATTTATTCGAAATTCTAAAATTTTTTTTCAATTTTTACTTTTGTTAAATATTCTTTTACAAGTTTTTTTTTTTTAATGTTCTTCAATTTCAATTTTCATTGCGTTTAATAAATTTTTTTTATTAAATCTATTTTTTCCCTCTAATTCTTTTTTTGAGTAATTTCTCAAATTTTCTTTCGATTTTTGTTTTCTTCAACATTGTGTTTCTTAAAATTTTTGTTTTTTTTTTAATTCTAGAATTTTTGATTGTTTTTCAAATCTTCTTTTTTTTGGAATTTCTGTTATTTATTCATTTTTATTTGACGATATTTTTTATTTTTTTCAACAAATTTTGCTTTTTTTAAAATTTTAGATTTTACGTACGATTCTTTTTTAAAAGAAAATTTTTGTAAAATACTAGAGTTTTTTTCATTGTTTAAAATTAATTACAAAATATAGCTTTTCATATGCAAAAAAATAAATAATTTATTAAATGTTTAATGCACTTATTTAATTTTTCATTGATGTATAATATTTTTTAATTAATAAATTAATTGATGAAAAAAATTATTTCGTTCATTTGAGCGTTCAGAACTTCAGGCACATAAATTTTTTTTCTTTTCATTTACGACAGTATTTTTCAATGATTTTTCTCAATTTTCCTTAAATTTTCGATTTTCATTTTGTTTTTTAAAATTTTGATATTTTACAAATATTTTCTCTGATAAATTCTTTATTATTCCTAATATTTATTTTTTATTTTACAAATTTTGTAATTTTTCTTTTTTTGGAAATTTTTAAAATATTTAATTTTTTTTTTAATTTTTTGACTTTTTTATTTTCTGAAATTTTTTTGTCTAAAATTCTTGTGTTTTTTTTGTTCTCGATTCTTTTTTTTTCAAATGTTCCCTCGAATAAGAAAATGATTTATTTTTAAATTAAATTTGGTCGACTTTTCTTTTATATAAAATAAATATTATAATAAATCGTAAATTAATAAGTAAATAAAATAATAAAAATAGTGATTGTTGTATGTTTTGTCTTCTTTTTCTATAATTTTATATTCTATACTTTAGTTTTTTAAATTCTGATTATTTATGTTACTGTATATATTTTTTAAGCTTGAGGGGGGAAAAAAATTGTAAAACTTTGTAAAAGTACACAAGAGAGAAATAAATTTAATTATTATTATTATTATAATAAAAATAGTGTAAAAAAAAACTATGGAGTTTTCAAAAATATTAATTTTTTAGGTCCCAAATCCTTTACTGGCGAAGATACAGTTGAATTTCAAGTTCATGGCGGTTCAGCAATTTTATCATCTCTAATGACGGCACTCGCAAAACTTGGATTTCGTCCCGCCGAACCCGGTGAATTCACGAGACGTTCGTTTTACAATAATAAATTGGATTTAACGGAAATTGAGGGTCTGGCCGATTTAATTCACGCCGAAACTGAACAACAACGTAAACAGGCACTCTTACAGGCGAGTGGTGTTCATCGTGAATTGTACGAAAATTGGCGGCACACGCTTATGAAAAATATTGCTCATCTCGAGGCGTACATTGATTTTAGCGAAGAGGAAAATATTGAGAGCGATGTACTCGTTAATTGTAATGATAATTTACGAGAACTCGTGGAAAAATTGGAAAATTATCTTACCGATGGTAGAAGGGGTGAGATTTTACGTAGCGGTGTGAAAACGGTAATTTTAGGTAAACCAAATGTTGGGAAAAGTAGTCTACTAAATAGTCTTGTACGACGTGATGCTGCAATTGTCACATCCGTCGCTGGAACAACACGTGACATTGTTGAATTAACATCAAATATATCAGGTTATCCAGTACTTTTGGCTGACACAGCAGGACTTGCAAATAATTCCAAGGATTTTATTGAACAAGAAGGAATTCGAAGAGCGAGAGTTTATGCAATTAATGCCGATTTTATTATTTTAGTTGTCGATGCCGTGGAATTTGTCAAAAGTCAAAAATCCATTGTCAATTATATTCACGACTATATGAAAAATTTAGAATTAAATGATCTTATAAATAATGAGAGAGAAGTAAAAAATTACATAATTGTTATGAATAAACTCGATTTAATTGATAGTAAAATGAAGAATTTTTTTCTGAAAACTTTACATGAAAATAATATTATTGGAATTTCGTGTGTGAAAAAAGAGGGATTTTCAAATTTACTTGACGCAATGACAAAATGCTTTGTGAAAATGTATGTGTTTCTTTTTTTTTTTTTTTAATTAAAAAAATTAATTAAATTATTATTAAAAAATTTTTAAATTAATTTTATTTATTACAGATGCGGAAATCCATCGAGGGAAAATCCAACAATTAGTCAAACAAGACATAGGATTCATTTGACAAATTGTTTGAATTGTTTAAAAAATTATTTCAAATTAATGTCGAATGATAATCATGACATTGTTATTGCCACTGAGGAGATTCGTCAAGCAATGAAAGAACTTGGAAAAGTAACTGGTCACGTTAGTAATGAACAAATTTTAGACATTATATTTAAAGATTTTTGCATTGGAAAATAAAAAAGATCCTTTTGTAATTCATGTCTTTTTAATTATTATACACAATATTTATTTTTATAATAATATAAAACAATAATGATAATAATAATAATAATTAATAATAATAATAATAATAATAAATTTGCTCTAAAAAATAACCGATAAATAATAATTTACTAGATATTTTACAATTTAAAGATTAAAGTTTTATTTAAATTTTTTTTTTATTTTTTCGATTTTTTTTGAAAAATTAAAAAAAAAACTTCTTTCTACAAAACTTGAAAGTCATTTTTTGCATAAAATTTTCCAAAATTTTTTTTTTTCAAACAAAATAAAAAAAAATTAAATTGATGTATTTTTAATTAAAAAACAAAAAAATTTAAAAATCTGAAATTTTGAAAAATTCTGATTTTGTAAACGACTTGATAAAAAAATTCGAAAACAATCATGAAACTCTTTTTGGTCTAATTTACTATTATAATAAAACAATTTTATATTTGAAATGAATTTTAAATTTTATTAAATGTATTTAAAAAAATTCGCACCAAATTTTGAATTATAGATGGCACTGTAAACAATATCGATGCCTGAGAATCGATTAGTATTGATTTTCAATCAAAAAAAATTTTTCTTTTTTTTTCTAAAAATAATACAAGAGATTTTTATAATTTATTTTTTTATAATTATTATTTACAATTTATTTTTATAATAACAATAATAATTACTATCTATTAATATCCAGAAATTTTATTTGAAACACATTTAAAATTTTACTAACAGCATTTCAAAAATTCGCGGCGCAATATCGATACTAGAAAATCGATTAGTCTCAAATTTGCTAACATTTTCTTTATTTTAAAAAATTCATTTTCTTTTCATTCAATAAACATTTATAATAATAAACTAATAATAATAATAATCCAACTGTAATAAATAATTATAATAGTAAAATATCTATTTATTAATTTTATTTTCCTATAAGAATTTACAAAAATATACTATAATACTATATAATATTATAGTTTAATAATAATTAAAAAATTATTCTTAAACATTTAAGTATATAATTAAAAATGAAAATTTAAATTTCCCACCAAAATCGAATATAGAAAGAATCGATTAATCGATTTCAGAGAGAATCGAGTTGAGTCAACGCGCATCCCCTCTTTTTTTTCTTTCTTTCAGCGTGTTTTCGTAGAGTGAAGGTTAGTGTCAAAATAATCTGAAAAATTAATAAAAATCCGCAAAATTTGATAAATAAAAATATCAATAATCGTTAGTGTATAAATAATTATTAATTGTTTTATAAATATTTCTTTTTTAAACGTATTTGTTTCAAGTTCAGCAATATAAATTTGCGTGAGACAAGTTAACATAACCTCTAATCTGTGCGTTTGTTTTTCTCGCAGGATGGCACCCAGGTATGAATTGGCCGTTGGCCTGAATAGAGGTCACAAAACGACGAAAATTCGCGTTGCCAAAAACAAATCCGAGAAGAAGAAGACTGTTGCAATTCGTCCAGCCAGACTAAAGGGGGTGAGTTTATTGTAATAATTTTGAAACATAACCTAAAAATTGGTGTCTTAATTTTCATATATGTATATAATTTCTGTTGCTTTCTTTTTATACTAATGAATACAAATCATAGACAATGAATTGAAATTAACTATTTATTTGGAGAAATTTTAATGTATAGTAAATTATATACTTGTGGTAAAAACGTTAAACGTTGCGTACTTCAGCTTCGTTAAAAATTGTTAGGTTTTCATTCAAGTGGAAAATTGAGAAAAATCATTTAAAAAATACTGTCGTAACTCTCAATGATACAATGAAAATATTGAAATATCAATTTCCTCACAAAATTATTTTTATTTTCTTATTTTGCAGCGTCAAACAAAACACAGTAAATTCGTTCGCGATTTAATTCGTGAAGTTACTGGACATGCTCCTTATGAAAAACGCGCAATGGAATTGTTAAAAGTTTCCAAGGATAAAAGAGCTCTTAAATTCCTCAAGAGAAGGGTAAGTTGCATTATATTTTCTATAGAAAAAAAAAATTACTATTAATATTTGAAAAATTTTGAAACTATATTTTCTGTTTAATACTTAAAATCGTTGCTAAAGTTCACGTTTATGATGAACAATTTCTAAATATTTTTTTTTTTTTTTGAATGAAAAATTCTTTCAATTTTCATGTCAAAGATATTTTTTGTATTGATTAACAAATTATCAAAAAAACATTTTTTTAAAATAATTTTTCGTCTTAAAACAAATTTATTTTCTAGTCGTTTATTGTGAACTTCAGTATCGTGTTGAGAAAATTTTTTTTTTTTTATAACATTGCTTCCATTAAAATTTAAAAAATATATATTAATGCTGAATGTTTGAGTTACCACCGGAATAGTAAAATTCAGTAATTCGTTTTTTTTTTATTCTAATACATTTTATAATGTGTTTTTTTCTTCTTTTTAATTTATAAATACAATGCTTGCAATTGAACAAGAATTGATAAATAATAAATTTAAAAATAATATTTTGCTTAATAAAAAAAAGTATACTAAAATTTGTGATATTTTTTCTCAGTTGGGAACTCACATTCGTGCTAAAAGGAAGCGTGAAGAACTAGGAAACATCCTTGTTCAAATGAGAAAAGCTGCTGCTCATCATTAGCAGTTTTATATTTGTAAGAAAATTCCTTTTTAAGTCAATAAACATCTGTGACAAAATTTTCAATGATACTTTTTAATGATGAAAATAATTTAAACCTTTTTAATAATAATAATAATAAAAAAAGAATCTATTTTTTCTTTTTAGTAAATGAAAATATTTTTTATTTTAAATTCCAAATAGAATGGAAAAATTAATTTTCAGATTTTAAAACATTTTAAAATTTGTTTCGAGTGTAGAAAAAAGAATTTTCAAACAAAAGTTTCAAAATTTATACTTAGTTTCAAAAATTATTTTATTTCACATTACATGTTTCTTTTTTTTTATATGAAATTCAATCTGTTAAAATTGATTTACTTTATTTCGAAATAATATAAAAATTCAATTTTAAAATGAGAAAGAACAAATTTAGAAAATAAAATTATTTTTAACTTTTTTTCCATAATTTCTTTTTATATAGGGTAAATGCACTAATTGCGGCGTGATTCGAGTCAAAAAACCTTTGAAATAAAAAATTCGACATTTCTATTGTATAAACTCAATTTAAGACTTATTAAACTAAAAGCTTATGTTATTTGGATATTAAAAAAAATTTACCTCCCTGAAGTTGGCTTCGACGCTGAGGGCCGAAAATTGTTTTTCGCAGAATCAAAAATATCAAAACATTTTTTAAAAAGGTTTTTGGTCCACACAATGCCTTGAAAAGTATTTTTCAAGGTATTATTTGAATTGAAAAATTAAAAAAAAAATAATTTGAAATTTTTGATTCTGCGAAAAACAATTTTCGGCGCTGAGCGTCGAAGCCAACTTCAGGGAGGTAAAAATTTTAACTTTATGAAAATCGATTATTTAAACAAATATGAGAAATTAAAATTAATACCGTAATTTTCTATTGTGGCGCGTTTGTATCAGTTTTGGTGTTTCAATTGCGGTTCGGAAAAAAATTTGATCTCAAATAATTAAATTAATAATTGTTTAAATGTGCATCTTTATAAGTAATTGTATCAAAAAATGATTAAAATAATTTTTTTTAATCATTGTGCAACAGTTATATTAAATATAATAGTAATAATAGTTATTTTTTATAAACGCGCCGTAATTGGTACACTTATCCTAGGATTAAAATTAAATTTTTTTCCTATAATATTTTTTTGATGAAAAAAATTTTTAATAAAAATGGTTAAAAAATAAATCTGAAATTTGATTAACTCGATAAAACTAGTTTCATTTATGAAGTAAACAATTTTTTTTCTTCTCTTTTTTGTTTATTTATATGCGCATTTATGGAAATGGATAAATGCACATATATTACATTCAATCGAAGATTCATCAAAACCGCCCGTATATATTCACTGTGAGATTTATAGCAGCTGTTTCGTGTTTTCAGCACCCATTCAAAATTAAATACAAGCCGTGTGCTTTTACCATTTTCTTCAATTACGTATTTTGCAAAATAAAAACTACAGGCGGGATATTCGTTTCGTTTGTATTATATGTATGTAGTAATACAATAATTTTAGATAGTATATTTTTAAGGTATCTTATAGGCCCTCATCACTGGAATTTTATTCTGAAAAAATTGAAATTTTTATTTTTAATTAAATTGACTCGTATTTTTCTGTCAAGAAAATAAGATTAAAAATACTTTTTTTTAAAATAAGACTTTTATTAAATTTACTAACTTTTTAAAATTTTAGAAAGCTGATGATTCTTTTGAAGGATTTTAAGACTTTATCTTTAGGGGGTAAAATTTTAAAAAAAACTACTTTGACAAAAATTTTAAACCTGGTTACGCTATGGGGAAACAATATTTTAAATATATTCAGAATTTTTTTAAATTTTCAAAATTTTGAATTTTTTTTTTTTAATACATACCTATTTTCGGTATTTTTTTATACTTTTATACTTTTATACAACTGCAAATTTTATTTTTATGTCGAAAACCATAGAATAGTCTTAAAATTTGTGTTTTTTGAGTTCTTTGGGTAAAATATGCAAAAGTTTTAAACAATTTTAAAAATAAAATTTTAATTTTTAAATTTGCAAAAAAAAACTATTAAATTAATTATCTAGATTTTTTTTGCATCGAATTTTGGAAAAATTCACATAAATAAACACCCAGTTTAAAAACAAAAAACTTTTAAAATTAATAAATTTTTTTAGGGAAGTCAAAAAATAAAAAATTATTAAAATTTTGAAAAATTCATATCTCGTAATTGAAAAAAATCATGAAAATTAGTTTTTATTAGAAAAGAAAAAAAGTTTCATTATTATTTAAACGTGGTTTTCAAAGTGTTCGAAATTTTTTAAATCGCGTGTGCTACCGACAGATCTCATAGTCCGAAAAATATGATACATCGATTGCAGGCTAAGGTTAGAGATATCTTTTTTTTTAATAAATATAATAATTACATACGTAATTTTTTTTTACTACAAAATTAAAAAAAAAAAATATTACATTATTTTTTTTCCAAAAAGGTTATTATTAACATTTTAAAGCTCACGAAATTAAAATTCATTAATTATATATTTTATATATTATAATATAATTGACAATATTTTATTAAATTATGAATGTAAAATAAGTAGTCAAAAAGCGAAAAATATAAGATGCATTTATTTAAAATTTCGAGAGATAATAAACCAATAGGAAAACGTGGCGCACCTTAGACAATCAATGGAATAAACGTTACTTTTCTCCACCGTCGAATATCCCATATAGCGGGTGGTCTATTTGCGGACAAAGTAAATGAATTTTAAGATTATTGTAGATAATTAGAGACAGGAACTTTATGGTTGAATATAGAATCATAAATTTAAAAAATGTTTTGTAATTTTAAGATCTGTATTAAAGAGTATTAATTAACAAAAATATTTGCAATTTACAAAAAAAATTAAAAATCATAATTTAGGTTTCTATAAGCAGCATAATCCAATGTAAGCATAATGCGATATAATATTCAAGTATTTTTTTTAAATATTATTAAAGTATTTTATTTATAAAAAATTGTATTTCTGGATTCGAAGCATATTTAATTAAAAATGTTTTTTTTTAATAATTTAATTTTCGAAGAATTTTATTAAATTTATTAAAAATAAATAAATTGGCGGTTGTTTTTAATTAAAAAAATTTTTTTAGTAAATTATAGCAGCACGGAGAAAAATGAATAAAGTTACAATTAATACTTTAAAAGTAAAACCGGAACTGTCCGCAGTTTCTGTGCATTTCTGTCAATTTTTACTCCAGAAATAGTAAAATTTACTATTTCCGTAATAATTTTTACTATTTCAGGAGTAAATTTTACTATTTTCGGAGTAAATTTTATCTCCCTGAAGTCGGCTTCGACGCTCAGCGCCAAAAATTGTTTTTCGCATAATCAAAAATTTCAAATTATTTTTTTTTTAATTTTTCAATTCAAATAATACCTTGAAAAATACTTCTCAAGGCATTGTGTGGACCAAAAATCTTTTTAAAAAATGTTTTGATATTTTTGATTCTGCGAAAAACAATTTTTGGCGCTTAGCGTCGAAGCCAACTTCAGGGAGGTTAAATTTTACTATTTCTGGGGTAAAAATTGACAGAAATGCTTAGAAACTGCGGACAGTTCAGGTATTATACTTTTAAAGTAGTAAAAATTACTTTATTCGTTTTTCCATTTTTCTTCGTGAGTTCATTTTTTTTACAGCAATAAAATTTCAGTTGAATTTTACTTGAGAATTTTAATATTTGAATGCATGCAAAATTTTATACATATTTCTAAAAAAAATTTAATTTAGATTTTTGAAAATGATAAAATTTGCAAAGAAAAAAAATTTTAAAGGTGTAGGTATAAATAATATAATTATTTGGATTTAATATAAATTGAATTAATTTAATATAAATAATTCAATTATTATAAATAATTAAATTGTTAAAAAAAGGGAAAATTGATAGGGGGATAATACATTGTAAAACTTAAAAAGTGGAGAATAAAAAAATAAATTTATTTTATCTTATAAATAAATCAATTTTGAAATAATTGCAAATTAAAAGTTTTGACAATTTTAGATTAAAAATTTCCAAAAAAGAATTCAATTTTCAAAGAATTTATTTCAGAATTATTTTATTGTAAAATAACAATTTTTAAAATAATTTAACTTTTAAAGATATGTAATTACAAGGATGTAAAATAATTGATTTTTTTAAAAAAGAATTTCATTAGAATTTTTTGAAAATATATGTGAGAGATTTTAGGTGAAGTGATTAAAGTGAAAAAAATAAAATTTTCTCCAATCGTGCTCAAACTTGGGTAATTTATAGTTCTATTTGATTATAATTCTTTGTAAAAAAAAAAATTTTCATTTGAACCCATATTTTTTTGTGAGGGATGGAAGAAACCTTTTAAGTACAATTTACTCTATCTTATTTTTTTTCTTAAATAATTAGCTAAATAAAAAAAAAATTTTCAACATTTTAAATATTTTTTTTAACGCTTTGATTGTTATAATGAATTTTTGAAAAAAAATTCACCCAAACAAATGAAAATTAAATTAAATTTTTTTCGGGTGAAAGACACAATTTTCTTTTTTTCTTTTAACTAAAGTTAACGTTTTTTGCTCTATAGCGAATTATAGATGAAAAAATGTTCCTAGAATATGTTTAATATTTGAAAATAAACCTTTTTTTACTTTCTAGAGTTATTTTGTGTAAGGCATAAAATTCCTGTCCCTATAGATAATTATTAGATAATTTCATAAAGTGGATTTGTTTTAAAAATGTTGAAATGAAGACAATTATTTATGCGCTCTTAAAGTATTTCTGTCTCGTAAAAAGACGTGAAAATATTATATAAATACTTAAAAAAAAGAGTGTAAAAATTGAATATTCCTGGAAGTTTTGTCAGAGAATGGTATGTGGACAAAATTAAAAAATATTTGTCTCTGTCTATCAACACGTCGTATTAAATTTCCTGTAAATATTCCAGGATTTCATCTCGCGACCAAAAAAAAAAAAAAAAAACTTTATGAATTATCATAGTTTCCAACATTTTCGTTTCTCATACGACGTATACATTAAGTCTCGACAC